TTGTATTGAAAAGGTGTTAAGAGATAAAACAATTAACTAAAATAATTAAATAAAATACTTGATGGAAATAGAATGCATTAATTACCTTTGACTTTTCTTACTATTAATTCTAATAAATAGAATGCCTTTTTATATAAGTATAGATGTGCATGTAAGATTTTTTAAACTATTTTGTAAAGAAAACATGTCTAAAAATAATTAAACTTAACATGTGTTACGTATATGTGAGTATATATATATGTACATATAGGTAGAATATGTAAAAAAAATATGTCTGAACATTTTGTTTAAGTATCTAAAATATTATAAGCCTAAATAAAGACATTATCTCACGCTAAAATTGTTTTAGAGAAGATTTATAAGATACCATAATTATGATGTTACTTCCATATGAAGATTTGACTACACAATATTTCAAAAATTACTATCATTTTTTTAAGTTACCATAAAAAAAGAAATTTGTACGCTTAACATTTTATCAATTTTACAAATACAAATTGAAATTAATGCAAAAGCTATCAATTTTATAAATACAAATCGAGACTAATGCACACCAAAAATTATGTGACAAATAAAAAGAAATTTTATATGTAATTGAGTTCAAAGACGAATACTGAAGACTGTTTCTATTAATATTTACAATGTGTATTTAATGATTTTTTTTGGCAAAATATTCTTTCTAAGTGTGATATATAAATATTAAAAATACTTAAAATATTTTATAACATCTATAAAAGCATCTAAAATATTCTATATTATTCACAAATACTGTTTGAAGCTACCTAAATTTTTCTAAACTACCCGTAAGAAAAACATGTCTAAAAATTCTTCATTTAACCTCCATATATGTATATATATAGAGAGAGCAAATGTGTAGAAAAATTTATACAAATAATATTTGAAAGTATCTAAAATATTAGTAATTAGACAGGTGAAATTTAGATTTTTAAACAAATCTAAATAGATAATGGATTTATAGTAGTAATTAGACTTTTATTTATTTATCTTTAAAGTTGTTCCGATAGATGAGGGATGTGATTTTTTTTACTCGTGGAGATGGAAGTTTGTAAGCTGCGTTATGAAATTTTCTTAAACTAGTCCATATTTATGCAATGAGTTTTTTGAGTTGGGTATATAGATTTAAAATTGTAAAAAAAAAAAAAAAATCATAAATCATTTGATTTGGTATTTTCGGAGAGCTTCAGTAATTTAAAAGTGTAAAATAAATAAATAAATAAATAAATAAAGTACAACTGAAAAAGTTACAACCAATTGTATGGAGAATTAAACTAAATCCAATTTTGTAGGATGCATTAAATATTGATTAGATTTTATATATAAAATAAAATAAAAAATAATTGGAATAGTTTTACGTGTTGTAATATTTTATATTTAAAAAAATTAAAAAATCTTATTTTACGTATTACATACCAACATTTTAGGAACTACATGGATATTTCTAAATTAATATTGCATACCCAATATTTTAGGAACTAATGAAATGCTAATTTGATTTGCATACCCAAAATATTAGATGCATTAATTAAATACTTGATAAAATTAGAAATTCATTAATTAAATTTGACTTTTCTAACTACTATATTATGATCACCTTTATAGTATAGATTAGTTGGAGGTGTTTCATAAACCGAGATGTTCGAAACACAGTCGTCTTGTCACTTGTGAAATGCTCGAGCTCATCTACCCGTTCGTTCACTACAACCGGCCAAGCTCGAACATCTTTACTTAACTTGCTCATGAACAACTCATTTATTTGTTTGTTTATTATTTGCACAGAGTTTGAACGAGCAGTTTGAGCCAACCATGTTATAATCTTGTTTGCGAACAATTCATTTGCATTCGCTAAGTCGAACAGAGCCAATACAAGCTTAAAAGAGTTGAACAAAACTAGTTAGTTTGTTAAACGAGCACGAGCTCGAACTCAAAGTGCTCGGCTCGGCTCGGCTCAAAATCGAAGAGTTTTTATTACAGAAGTGTTGTTAGTTTTTCTGGTTTGCATCGATAAGTTTTGAGTTTAAAAACTTTAAAATGGATTGGTGCATGTTTAGCAGTTAGCACGTTAAACTAACATTAGTTAATAAGAACAGCTAAAACAGTTGAAACTAATTAAAATTGAGTCAAAAACATTTGCTCTTTTCCACAAATTAATTCGATTTTGTTGCAACATTTCAAGGCAAACAATATATACCATTGGCCGCTCATCTTAACATTCTCCACCTAATTACCTCATCAAACTGGTTTTTATTTTCTATTTTTTATTTTTATATTTTTTTTTTTTTATTTTTTGGGTATAAAACCCTCACATGCTTCATTACCTATTTTTGTGCTTTGCCACCTCCATTTATCCCCTTACATGCACAACTCACCAAACCAATTTTTTTTTTTAACATAATCAAATAAAAGTCTTTAAAAATCATGGCTCATCATATGTTATGGAGCCTCGTTTGGGCTATATCAATAGCCATTCTAACTATTTTGGGCCCCGCCGAGGCCCACAAACCCAACAACAACGTCATGAACGTGATCGATCGATGCTGGCGTACGAACCCCAACTGGAGGCGCAACCGTCACCAGCTGGCAACGTGCTCGGTTGGCTACGCCGGAAAAATGACCAATAACATCGGGCGGGCCGTAACGAATTACAAAGTCACGGACCCGAGCGACGACCCGTTGAACCCGAGGCCCGGGACTTTGAGACACGCAGTGACAAGCATCAAGGGAAAAGTTTGGGTCACGTTCGCTCGGGACATGAGCATAAAGCTCATCAAGCCCCTCCTTGTCAGCAGCTATACCACCCTCGACGGCAGAGGAGTCAACGTGCACATTGCAAACGGCGCTTGCCTTTATCTTCGACGGGTAATCTAATTAATTTATTTTTTTTTATTTGGTAAGTTTTTTCGAGAAAATCTAAAATACTTTCTTCATGGTAAATACCGAGTAGGTGACAGACGTGATCATCCACGGGCTCCGAATCCATAATTGTGTGGCGCAGGGGCCAGGCCCGGTATTGGGCCCGAACAGGCGAGTCGTGAATCTCGGGCCCGTCGATGGGGACGCGATCCGGATGCTGACGTCAACAAGGGTGTGGATCGACCACAACACGTTGTCCGACTGTCAAGATGGGTTGATTGACGTCACGCGCGGGTCCACGGAAATCACGATCACGAACAACCGGTTCAAGCTCCAAAACAAGGTCATGCTATTAGGCCACGATGATGGGTTCAGGCGGGACTCAAACATGCGGGTCACGGTAGCCTTCAACCAATTCGGCCCGCATTGCATGCAGAGAATGCCAAGGTACGAGAGATAGAGAGTAGACAAAAAACTTAATACATTTTATAGTACGTTTGGGTTTTGACAGATAATTTTGCAGGATTCGATTTGGATACGCCCATGTTGTGAACAATTTGTACCTCGGATGGGGACAATATGCCCTTGGAGGGAGCATGAACCCTAGCATCAAGAGCCAAGCAAATCTCTTCATCGCGCCACAAGGAGACAATAAAGAGGTAGTTTAAAATCTTAAACACCTCTTGATTACTTAAAGCAAAAACAAGATTAAGGACTAAATTAACTTAATAATACACAATTCACTCGTGGGCAGATCACATGGGACAGCAGTGCAAACGGCAGGTTCAAATCAATAAACGACGTGTTTGAAAACGGAGCCTCGTTTAAGGAGTCGGTCGATAAAGGTGTGACAATGAGGCCGAACTACCGTCCGGACCAAAATTTCAAAGTGTCCGACGGGAGAATAGTTAGGGCTCTGACGAGTTCGGCCGGGGCTTTGATATGTCCTAGGACATCAACGTGTTAAGGTTGTAATGAAAAAGTGGTCAATGCTTATGAGGCATATAATATACATATAATGGTTCTAACCATCTATATACATATTGGGTCTTCATCTTCATATAGTCTCTAATCCCGCACTTTTTATGTAAGACAAAGAAAAAAAAAAAAAAAAAA